AAAGCTCATTGTAGTGTGATAATCGCTGCTAAAGTAACACATAAATAAAGACAAATCAGTAATTTTGTAATTAACTATCTGATGTTTTCATGTTTGAGTGTCGACATGCAAGTGAAGATAACACAACTTCAGTTCAAAACTTACTGGTTGTTTCTCAGGTGCGCTCTAGGCTAGACCAAAACTTCCAATCAAATTACCGGTTGCTATGTAGACATGGCTTCCGGCTGACTGCAGTAAATTAGCAGTTTCTCGTAATTACACAATACCCGTCATTCAACAAACTGAAGTTCTCCCTAAAAAGGAATTTACAAGTTTCATCAGTATGCATGAGAGCACATTAAATTAATAAAGTGAGAAAGTTGTTCCTATGCTGCCGATGGGTTTTTGTTTTTTATTACAACAAGTAACAAACATTCTGGGTACATTTCACTGTTAATTAGAATGTAAGTCTGTTAAAATTAAACGGATAACGTAAGGAAAACGATTTAATTCTGCGATAGTGTAGATGATTCTATTGAGTCGCGTGTATTCCTTGCCACTTGGAACGTGTAGACTTTCATGTTAATAAAGACTTCTTATTTTTTCCTTCTTATCTAATTGTATTTGAGGCAACTGCGATAATACTGTTGATGATGAAATTTCCTTTTCAAATTATTTTAAACAGGCGTGGGGTGTTCCGAAAATCCACTTTACCTACTTATCGAAACGTTTGTTAAACGTCTCTTCTTGAAAAGCAAACTGTCATTCTGAAAGTCAAGAAATTCTCCATATTTTACGGCGCACTGCGTCCTCCCAATGACGTAACAATGGAATCAGTTTAACCCCCCAGACCACATTATCAATCCGTAATTGTTGGATGTCAGTTTTAAAATTATCTTTCTATCTATTCCTACGTTTTCCAAGAATTCATATATGACCTTGTGTACAGATATTTTGTAGGCTCCATACAGGTAAGAAGAAGAAAAATATCTGCAAGCAAAGATGTCGAGGGCTGTTGACAAGAGAAGGATACCGAAGATCCACAGGAGGAACAGTGAGTTAGGAAGAAGAAACAAGTGACGGAGAAACACGTATTTTTCTTTTTGACGAAAGGAAAATAAAAGAAAGAATAACTTAAGTGAGTGTTGAGTCCTCCTGCTACGCGTTACAACTGATATCATGGCTGCCTCTAGGAAAAGTTTCTTGATAGATTAGCTGCCTTTGCCGTGCTTTTAAAGCTAATACACGTTCACTACTGATACTCTTTGTGTATGCATCAATCACGTCGTTTCACCTCTGACGATCTTATCCTTCTTGTTTTTCTGTACTTGACTGCTTCTATTAGTCTCGTCAACAAGCTTCGGGCCGTACAAGGTACTTTATTCGAGAGTTAAGTAATTCCAGCTTTACAACACATAGAACCTTGTATTTTAACATTATTTCTACCTTTATTTTCCATAAAGATAGCGGAAGAGCACGTAAAAAGATGGCCTCGTTTCGCGACATGTATCACAAAGACGCATGTTAAGTAGATCACTTATTGTTCAGGAGAAGCAAAAAGCAGTTGTCATTTTAAGTCTTGTCTCTGCAATTCCATTCTTTAGGCCTCGATTTGAAACTCAACAAGAAATCATGTTCTGTTCTGTTCTGCATTTTCTTAAGCAGTTTCGCGGTTCTAAAGTTATATTAGCCACTTTCCAAATCTGGCTTTTGGCGTTAAGGCTAAGAAACTTTCGTTGTAAACTTCAGCAACTAATTTACTTCCTTCTAACATTTTCTGTCTCCGTTTTCTGTCATTCTTCCTGTCTTTAGGTAGGATTTTGGGTGAGTCGGAAGATGGCTGTATTCCGATTTGTAGCGCCGTTTAGTCTGGTAGAAGTTTATCAACATTTTACAGGGATTGTTTGCCTCTATCATAATGGTTTATTGCCCACGGCGCTACAACCCAAAACACAGTCGTCTTCTTCCTTCTTTGCTTCCGACCATCTTCCTCCTGTTCATTTTCTTTAACTTACTTTGTTTTCTCTTTCCTTACGACGGCCCGAATATATTTCTTCCTGATTCTAAATTAGTTTAGGGAAGTTAAAGGTTAATAGGGCGCCCAGAATAAAACAGATATTTATCAGGTCGCAATTTGTTATTATTCGACACTGAGAACGATTCTGCTGCAGTGATATTCGACAACGCTTCCAGCCGTTTTGGTGGCACTATTAAGAGGGTATCAACAATGTAAGATTACGTCAACGGGGCACGAATGTTACAAAAATTTCTCGGGCGATCAGCATCACAAATGCCAACGTATAAAAGATTAATATTGTATTCATCTTCACGGTAAGTTTGCGGAATAACAAATATGCTGCTAAGGCCGGCTGATGTACATATAAAAGACATTTTTATTCCTGAAACTTACCCAGAAGATGAAAAAAGAGCCAGTGTTCGAAACGTTAATATTTGACTAAGTATTTATACGGCTGATCGCCCAATAAAATTTTAATACGAATTTTGTAGTTCACTTTTAGAATGATTTTAAATTCACTATAATAATTTTCACACGCAATGGTACTAATTTTATGTGTGACGACGTTTTTGCCTTTTGTCCGTAGCCTATAATTTACAAACTTAGCTGAAAACTACAGAAATTGCACACTGATAAATTGTGTTAAAATGGTATTACTTTTGTACCTCGACTCACGTTTTTCGTGATTTTTCTTAGTCTCTACAGGCCCCTATATAAAACGTTTAAATTGGCTATGACATCCTACATCCAAATTCTTTCCTGCTTCATGATCATCATCGCATTCCATTCAACGCTATATAACTTTGCAGTTACAGCAACGTCGATAAATAATCTACGAATCAATCACATGGATCCAGATCAACATTGGAAGGATGTAAAAAAACATAAATGCCACAAAGCGCGTAATGATCTTTTTATATTGCACATAATTAGTAAATGCTTATTACAGAGAATTGGCTTGAGTTCTCTACTGTCATTCATCATGCAGTTCTCGTACTCATTTAATGTGGAATATTGGCAAAGACAAGTTTAACTTCTTTCTGCTTCCAGCAAATATCTGCACGCATATAGAACATCTAAATGTGTCGTTACATGTCTCAACATACAAGTTAGAGAAAGTTGTTTCAATAACTACCGTAGTTGGAAAAACACTAAATGTTTTCGAAATATAGTGCAAGTATTATAGACAATATTTCTTTAAAAGTTCATCATCAAGTAGTAAAGATATTATCATCTTTTGGAAAAACCTAGGGTTCATCACGAACGAGCCTTATTAATAGCCTACGAATCAATCAGTTTTCAACTTTCGCTTAGGTAGGCCGCACACCGGCATGCGTCAAGACATGTAACAGTCAAGACACGATGTCTGCGACATGACGCAAAGAAAGGAGCACAGTTGAAACGAATGAGATTATGAAAACCGCCGCACATCGGTCTGAGTCATGATGCTGACGTCAGCTTCATGCTGCAGACACGTGCAGCAAGACTCGGCATGTTCCTTTTCCGTGCGCCAGGACTGAGACATCAGTACTCAAGGAACAGCACCAGTGTACGTTATCGACATGAGTGAAGAGTAAACAAATATTAAATTAGTGCAGACGGTTGAGAAATTCCCGGTAATATACGATTATTCGTCCCCGGGCCTCTCAAACAAGGAGGAGGTTGATAAAGCTTGGCATGCAGTTTCAAAAGAAGTAAACATAGATGGTAAGTTAATGTTATAAGTAGCCGTTCATCAGCACTAATAGCTTTCCTATAGTTTGTATCCTGCTTCCTCAATAGTGGCGAAACTCTCTGAAGAAGTTCCTTATAGGATTCTGGGGACATTCGATAATAAGACTGGAATTTCACTGGATCGTTTAACAAGTCGAGAGCTAAAACGTACGCACACGACTCATTAAAGTCATGAATCCACTTCCCTTTCCTTTTTTTACGTAATTTAAGCCACATGTACATTAAAATATCTTCCTCACTGGACGACGTCATGTCATCAACTAGAGGAGATGTGCTAAGACGCAGACACGTGCCACTTCGGTGTGCGGACTCGAGTCTGAATCACGAATGAAGCAAGACTGCGTCTTTTGTCTCATGTCTTGATGCTTGTCTTGACGCAGTTGGTATGTGGCCGCCCTTAAACTACGAGTAAATAATGCAATGGTCATAACTGTACTTGCGTTGTACAGCATGTCATAAAGCCGTGTAACTTTGCCGTTCTAATTAAAAATTGACTTTTCTATTTGTGCAGGACATCTAGTGCCGAGGTCAAGAATGAGTAGGAGCTATACCTCCACTCCCCCAAGCGCCTACATGGCGTATAGTGGGACAGCTTTACTTTACAGGCCTACACAAAACTTTTGAAGATCATCTTCAGTGAGCTAATTATCGTCAAGAAGATGATTGCCTTTTGGGATTCTGGTAGAAACTGACCGACGTTTCAGAGGTGTTTACTGTCATCATAATCAACGGACCTATATAACGTCGGTCAACTTCCACCAGACTACACCGGTCAACATCCATAAGACAGACATTTTCATATTCGCCGTCGTGAGAACCTGAAATCTTACCTATTTACCATTAAGTTCAAAATAAGTCGACCAAATTTAACTCAAAAAATCGTATTAATTGCACAAGCTACTCTAACAACAACAAAAATTACATTTAACCCGTACACCTAAATGTTACACTATTATTAATCGCTTCTGTACAATTGCATTTTGTCATATGGAAGAATCTGAGTATAAAGTTCACGGTTGTGATTTATTATCCTTCTGTAACTGACATATTTTATTGTAAGAAATATTAACGTAACTAATCTAATTTACTTGGTTTTCAATATGAACGATGTGCAATATGGACAAATGGGAAGTACAATGAATCCACTGCAGCAAATTACAATTTTAAAGACAGTAATAATAAGTTTTATAGTAGCATACAGATACATATTTTGGTAAATACGCGTAAAAAAAAGCTGCTGTCCCGAAGTGCATCGGGACACGTAGCTTACCTCGTGAAGACATCGGGATAATGGGTCCGAGCAAATGCCTTTTCCAATTCCTCCAACTGGAAGCTGGTGAACGTGGTGCGGTATCGTCTCTGTTTCCTCTTCGGTGCAAAGTCATCCAGTTCTCCTTCGCTGTTATTCTCCGACGCATTACTACTTCCGACAGGGTCGAGGACAGAGCCGCTGCTCGTACTTCCGTGCTCCATAAGAAGAGCTGTTTTACCACCCGGCCCCTTCTCACCATCACATTCCCCCATCAGCACCGATGGGGGTGAGTCTACAGCAGACAGTTCCTCTTCAGCCTTTTCACTTTCTTCAGACACACCCATTATAACAACTGCCGTACCAGAACTAGAACTACAGTTCCCCCCAATTCCGTTACTCAGAATTTCCTGTTGGGATTGCACTAGCACACTAGTGGCAAATTCTTGTTCTTGAACTGCTGGTACAGGGGAAGCGTCACTAGACTCCACACCGGTGATATTTGAAGAGTAATCTGCAAAGATAACAGAAAAGCTGGTCAGTGTTACAGCTTTTAACAAAAGATACGAAGGAACTGTCAACCTGAAAGATTTTCCCCACATTAGGTTTAACGGGAGCCGATGCAATTAACACCTACATGCTTTATGTAATGGAAAACCAATGGAGACACAGTGATCATAATTCACTCAATATGTAGGTTCACCGTGCAGTGCTATAATCCGTCGACTGAGAACATAATTCCTTCCTGCACTGTATAAGACAAAATAATACTACAAGCGAGCCTATAACGAGGCAGTGCAGTCTTGGGCAACATGTCTCTTCCTCTGATACTAACAAGGTACTTGAAGTGAATGCACACACACAGACATTTTCAGTGTCAACGGAAAACAACGCCGTCAGGTCATGAATATCGGCCATGTTTTGTTTAGTCAAACAATCGTCAACAGCGCGGAGCGACGCTGCGTGTTGTCAGACGCCATTTAGACGTCAGGAGACTAATTAAACAACGTGCATCCAACTTTCAGAACACAAGTAATGTGCCATTAAACTTCATAAGCAGTAAATGTATTTTACTGCTTACAGCTGAATCAAAAGAGAACTTTCTGCACTTAAATCTCCTTTTCGCAGAGATAACAACAAACATGCCAGTGACAAACGTGCAAGTTTGAATTAACTTCCAGTATGGTCTCTGATAGATTTCAGAAGAATCTCGGCTGAAAAACAAAATAATACAGGGAAATTTACAGTACGTATCTATAAGGAGTTCTTCGCTTACGTTAAATAAAAAGGATGTGAATTGGATTCATCTGGCTCAGGTCAGGAACAATTTGTGGGTACTTGTGAACACAGTAATAAAACTTTGGGTTTTATAAAGGTGCAGAATTTATAAAATGATGGGCGAAAATTAGGTTCTCATCAAGGGCTCTGTTCCGATGCGTTAATTATGACTATACGGAATGTGATTTTGATGGGATAATCGTAGAATATGTTTTTATTTTGACCGCACTTTCTCGGCTGCACACAGGAAATAGGATAATGACAGTAAATGATGAATTGAGAATGATATGATATGAAACAATTACGGTTTATTTCAAGGCATTATCCAAGCATTTACTTCAAAGAATAATCAGCCTCCTAGTCTAAAATCGAAGACAGTACATTCAGAATAGGGAGAAAAGCCTTAAAACACGGTTCGGTAAATTGAGCGTTACAAATATACCGATAAGAAGGAAATTAAATTGTTAAATCCATCAGACAATTTTTATTACCGTGCCGAAATTCATTGTTTCCAACTGCGTTTGAAAGTTAGATAGACTGACAGGCAGACTAAGTAGAGCCAACCTCGCAATTACGCCGACTCATTAAATATATAGAAGAGATAAGATTAATCGATGACAGTATAAATAAAATCTGACACGTTTCGTGTGCAGTAAAGTTAGCTCCACAAACGGAACAATTTCATTTTCCTTTCTTACTAACAGTTAGGACATAAGGCGTTTGAACTTGTATAAAGAAAATAAAAAACACTGAAAATACCTTGGCATGCCACAAAAGAGCGGACCCCTGCATGCTACGTTCACTGCAGCTGTGACTCCCGCAAAAATTGCAAGGTTATAAAAAACTGTCCATGATTAATCCATGTTGTAAATGTGCAGTGGGTATACTAACAGTGTAACAGAGACTTCTGATGCGTTGCAACATTGAAAGCGTGTCTTTGGTTCGTATGCAAAACAGTAATGTTTTGATATGGTAGTTTACAGCACGGAAATTAGCTGCTACCGTGTTCACCTTACTTCCCCCCTCCCCCTTCCACGATGTGACGTAACCGACATGTACAGCTAGGCTGGGCGCAGTTTACAGAGCATACGATCAATTCTGTATACTGCACGCTCCTTGAAATCATCCATTAGAAGGTGGAAGTCACACAGAACTTTAATGGAGCGCTTATCTAACAAGTGAATGCCGATAACCACTTGAGCATTAGGAGCACAGCATGAACCATTTACAAACAAGTCTGATGTCACATGAAGGAAGACGTCGTCACATGCCAGGGGTCGGGAAACTTTTTATTACCGCTGGTCGCATTGGCTATTTATATCTTTGTTGAGGGCCGCAGAAATATATAAATAATGCAGTGAACAGTAAGCGAAACTGTATTTGACTGGACAGTATTATAAGGTGGCTATTGCGCATTTCTCTGAGATCCATCTTAATGCTAACCTTCAACCTGTTTCTTGGTCTTCCAAGAGGTCATTTTTCATTGTAATTTTCCCCACAAAATATCTGAGACCTATATTTTCCTTATGTCCCAATTCGAGCTACATGAACGGTCCATCAGTTATCTTAATAATACATAAATAGCATGTTCATCAGTGCTTCTGCAGTGCACATAAATGCAAAACTAGTTCGTGAACGACCTCTCTGTGTGCTGGCATAAAGACCAAATATGTCGCTTCTAATGGCATACAATGTGTGAGTCTACAAACCCAGAATATCATCATCACCATCACCAAGCTGTCAAGCAACTGGGTCGTTTGTTGAACCTTGCAACGTCAGTTGTCTTCGCGGTATTTTAAACTGCCATTCTAGATTTCTTGTTCCAGCCGGTCTGTACTTTGTAATTAATTCGGAGAGTCGTCTCTTTGCATTGCCCAGCGGCTTGGAGACAGCTATCCCATCACAAGATTACCTTTCGAATAGCCAGTAACCTTTTGAAAATTCACCACAACTTTTAAACCACACAAAATAAGTGGTGAAACTCGTTATTATAAAAAAAAATACTATGGAAAAGGATTTGCCTAACACAAATATTGATTTTCCATCTATTTGGTTCATCTAGGCACATGAAAGTTATTCAGTCAGTGCAATTTCTGGATATTCTATGTCTCCGCTTTATTGTAAAGAATAATTTACACTTTAAAATACACTACACTAGTTAGTGTGCTGTTCTTTTTCAAAGTCCCTTCCCCATGAAAAATCTTGCACTCTTGCTTGCCAGATTGTTACTCAATTGCAGAACAACTTAACGTTCCAGTTAAGGTCCATGCCCTCCCCCCTCTCACACTTTTGACTGCACCCCTTCCTGTCAGTGGTGATCGAACTTGAATCACCCCTGCCAATTAACTCGCTCCGGTGATGCAAGCAGGGGCTTAACAGTTCAGACACTAATCAACAGACAGGAAATTAGTGTTTCCTGCTTCATGATACGTAGAACAGCCTTTCCACAATTTGAAACCGTCTTCCGGAATAATAAGATCGCATGACTGGAACAGTAGGGAAGAGACATGGACTGTTTTACAGCAAACGGTCACACTGCTTCGTTGGTCTTCAATGATTTCAAGAAGCGGTTTAAGACATCGCTACCTATAACTACAGCCCACCCATAAGCCCGTAATTTTTATCGCGTTAGTCCTCTTCAGTATCTTAGTGTATTTACTTTAACATATTGACTGCTATCTGAGCGCAGTAAATTGTTAGCTTTAATTGTTAAACAAGGCAGGATGCATTTCTATAATTAATTTAACACTTAAAAACTCAGTTTGAGCTTATGTACCACTTAATTTAACGTAAAGTAACTATTTATTCTGCACACAGAGTGTATGATCCTCACAATAAACAGCTATTATCTTCCTAAGCAACATGGGCTGAATTATCTTTGTAATGGAGACGTTATAGTTTATTTGTGATGTACAGTGTTGTAATTGACTACGGACTGGACGACCAAGGTTTGATTCCCGGCAAGAGAAGAGGATTTTTCCTCTAGCCTCTGTGTCCAGACCGGTGCTGAGGCCCACCCAGCCTCCTATCCAATGGGTACCGGGATCCTTTCCCCGGGGATAAAGTGCGGCCGGAGCGTAATGCTGACCGCTCACCCCCATCTAGTGCCGAGGTCAAGAATGAGTAGGAGCTATACAACTCTCTTCTGTGTTGTTTTCAGTATTGAAGCAGAGAGTTGTCGCCAGGATAATATAGGCGTGAGTTAACTGACAGCGTTGTTAAATAAACCACAATTAATAATTAGGGAAGATTGTGTTTGTCATGGTATAACTGATGCGGAACGGAATGGTACTTGTGACAGTAAGTTTCTCAGTGGCTTACGTCAGGTAATCATCCCATACACTTGATATTTCTCACAAAAGAACAACAGAGAAAATAAAAAATCTGGTCACTTTGTTTCGTGAAGGTATAATGATCCACCTTCTCTTCAGTCACAAAACAAAGGAAAACATGAGATGCCAAGTGCAATTTTATTTAAATTCAGTTATAAGTACTTTCTTCCTTAGTTACATGTTTATGAGTACTAAACCGTGGACACCAAAATTGTTAGCTGTTAATATGTTATCGAAATTGCTACAAGATTGGCTGCAGATGAGAGATTCAGTCTGATATTTTGCACTTTGGGCCCTTCTGCTTCTAACCAGATTGAGAAAAAAGGCTGTTACATCAAGTCATGTTTAAAGAATGAAAAACTATTACGGGTACGAGAAAAACGTGCTAATAAAAAGAGACATGTTTTAGTTAACATCTGCAAAATAATTTATAGACAGTGCCCCATTTAAAACTCAACCCTAACTACTTTGAAGACATCAATATAACAATAAAAGGTTGTTTTTATGATTTTTATCTGTTAGGAAGAACTCGCAGAACAGCTGTACAGCAAATGGACATAATGTCCACCAGCGCTGTTGAAGACAAGCGTCAACCAAAAAAACTATCTTTCGTGCAACTTTCAGAAGTGTTTCTAGGTCAATGTTGACAACAGTCTATTCAATATTGTGTTTTAGTTCCTCCAAACTTCGTGGGTTAATCGAATAAATTCTTTGAGAACCCCCCACAGAAATAAGTGCTCGTAAGTATACCATCTTCGCACCTTGAACGTATTCTGCGCAACTGGCGTGAGCAGCGGCCTAACAAAAAGAGTGACCTCGACTCGGGTATTACGGGGGAGGCTGGGAGAGTCTATTACAGTGGAGTAGACCGGCATCTGATTTCCTTCATGATTGTAGCTGGGTT